GGGTTTGATGAAACTTTCGCGAACGCTAGTTTATTTTACTGGAATTTTAATGATATATATGGGCCCTTTGTACGTTGTGCGGTTCAAAAATTGTTTTTTTTCATATGACGCTGTACAACCTTGCTCAATTTAATTCCACTTAAGCCCCCCTCCCCCCAATGAAGTCTTCTTGTATCAAAAAGTTAATTTGGAGACCAGCACATGGAAAGATAGCCTGGGGTGTCTACTTTTAGAATCTATATCTCTTTCGGATATAGAACTGCTTTTTTGTGGTTTTCGAGTAAGTTTTCTAGAAGCCTTGAGAAGCAGGATCTTCAAATAATAATTTTTTTCTGGATACATACGCAAATAAATCTTTTCTAAACATGTAGAATTGTAGAACAGACTTTTCTGATCAAAATAAGAAGCTGCGCAACTCTGTGTGACCTTGCATTCAAAAACTACACGCATTTTCCTATATGTTCTAAAATAGATCAACGAATGTGCAGCGTTTTCTCTCAAAGCACGTTTTTTGTTCGAACATGCCCAGTGTGGGACCCTTTTTTTAATATATTTCAAGCTAGAGATCTCGGGTTGATTTTAATTTAAACTAAACACCTAACTGCGTGAACTGATGGGACTAGATTTTGGATTAGGCCTTAACTTTCTAGAAAATCAAGGATCTTCAGAAAGCCGGAAAGTACTTTTTGAGGATCTTGCATCTCTAGAAAACGAACAAAGACCTAAATCAAAAATCTGGTTCCATCACCCCACGTAGTTCGATGTTTAGTTTAAAATAAAATCAACGCGAGACCTCTAGCTGGACGTATAAAAAAAAAGGACCCCATAGTGGAGGGTGTGTTTTTGATCTTGGACTCTGGAAAAACCCGAAAAGGTAAGAGATAGCGGGGAAAAGGAATTTTATAACCAGACTGTGATATGACAAACATTTCCTGGAAATGGCATCAAAATCGAATGTAAGATAAAAAAGTTTTTGTCTGAGGGGAGGCGGGGCACTTAAGTTAATATTTTTTAGTTAATGTACGTCCGTCACACTCACTGGTCACTATAAGTATGTACGTCCGTCGCGCTGCCACATGACTATATGTATGTACGTCTGTCACAATCACTGGTCACTATGTGTATGTACGTCCGTCACACTCGCTGGCCACGATATGTATGTACGTGCGTCACACTGCCATATAACTATATGAAATGTGCACACAGAGAGTCGTGGTTGTATTACATGCTAGATCGAGTACCCATCATTTTACATAGTTACAATCTCACAGACCCGTACAACCGAACCATTTTTTGCATGTATTTTCACAGTGTTCATGTACTGTACGATACTCAACGTACTATTGCAGAGGTGATTCTTTTAAATTTTAGTTTAGATCTTTCTTTACCGAGTTATAGGGCTTGTAAAGTTGAAAAACTCAATGTCTCAGACATTTTTCGGTATTTTCCCTATAGTTCGACAAGGAAAATTCTAAATTAAAATTCACAAAAGGTACCGCCGCAGCAGTGTCTTGAGTACCTGTGGTAAAAGTTTTAACTCGATCGGGTAAAATTTGAAGAGGAAGGGGGTTTCGCACTGACAAACCGAGTTTTCTGGAGAACTCGTGAACGATAATAGTTGAAAACTTGAAAAAAAAATCTAAAAAAAATGCTCCACTGAGTTTCGGACCAGTTCTAAAAATATGAATTCTTGTTGATTTTTAGATTTTATTTGATAGCATTTCTACGGAAAGACCAAAAAAAGGGAAGGGGTACCCTCAAGTTGTCATATGTGACGCATTTAGGCTTCAGGCTACACGTACCAAATACAGATGGATTCATTGTGTTTCACATTTTTTTACAATTTCCGAAGACAAGATAAAGAAATGAAATAAATTTTTGTTTCTTAAAACTATTTTTTACCCTAACATATGCATTCTGATAATTTCTGATAGCGTACGAAAGGTATGAAAAGCAAACTGGAAACCTTACTTGAGGAAAAAATTTTATTATTAATTTTTTAGCAGGGATAATTGTAGGTGAGCTCAGCACAAGACACGGCAATTATTTCATTCTTTCCCGTTTCACAAGAGAAATATTTTACGAAGACTTGAAATACTCTAACAAGAACACTTATATTACACGTACCGGAGACGCTGTTTGACAGATGAAACGCAGGTACATTTGATGGACTGAAGCTGGATGTGTTATCCAAAATCATGCCTAAGACGAAAAATAATCAAAAAGGAAATAGTTACGTAGCAACTACTATTTTAATTTAAATATACTTGATACAATCCGTTCTGATGGCTCTATAATCACAAAGAATACTATTTAACCGATCCTGTTTTTGTCTTATTCAATCGTACTTACGATATATTGTTCTTTGAATCTCAATGACGGTGCTTTGTGGACCTACCATAAACATTTAATATAAACCGCAATTATAATCTATGACTGTCCTAATGGTTCTATTTAATTAGCTGGTACTTACCATTGACAACAGAATTTTCTAGCCGATCAGGACAATATGGTATACATACTTCGCTGTACAAGAACGGATTTGGTTCATCAATAGTGTAATTTGAACGTCGAAAAGGATGGACCAGGCTCGATTTAAGTGCATCAGGTTCTGAAATGGTGGGCGCGATTCCTAAAATTAGGTAATTATAACTTTTATTCTAAAATCCAAAGCTAGGATACCAAGCTGAAAGATAGAATACCTTCATCATCACCAGCATCACCATTGTCATTTTCTGCTGTTTCCATAGCTAAAAAAGCCCTGTAGTTATCGATCTAGCAAAATAAATACCTTATATTTTTTATAGCACTAACATACATTCGGGAGTTCGGGATCTAGCTGCGGTACGATATTGATTTCGATTGATGGTCATTGTGGACACCAAAAACCGTATTATCGCAGTGAAAACAAAGTTTCTAAATCTTTGAAAATCCCATGATGGTGTTTCATCATCATATCCATCATTTCGACGACAGTTTTTCGAATTTCCCTTTCTTTGATCTTTCATTAATTAATAAATCGATTGTTTATCAATAATAATTAGATTAAATATTTGAGAGGCTATATGATTGATGACAGAAGTGTTAATGTTGCCATTAACATCTGGACATCAGTGAAAACCGCATGATATCTTTATCACGCGGGGAGGAAATGAACTACAAAACAGATTTATCTAATTCGTGTGTTAAGTAGGGAATGCCATTTGTTCAACGATTAACAATTAGTTAATTTTAGAATTTTTGTTTACTAACAGATATAAGTTATAGATTTGTTAGTAGTTAGAAGTCTAAAAGAAAAACAAAACAAAAGGCTTCATTACACAAAGATAGTTTGTGGTTAGATGAATATAACAAAATCCGTTCATTGATTAGAATCAAAAGTTGCTTGCGAAAGCTACCAACAAGTAATGGTAAAAGGACCGCTTAGACTAGTAAACGTGCTGAATTTCTGAGAATCCGTTTCATAAATTAGAGAGGCTGCTTCTAAATAGTCTTAATGTCATCACAGGTACATTTGATGGACTGAAGCTGGATGTGTTATCCAAAATCATGCCTAAGACG